GGTCACCCGATGGGTTTCTATGGCCAAGTGGAGATTCGAACCCTGGTATCCAGAGTTGTAGTCCAGTGCTGAAACCACTATATCACACTGGATCACTACACTAGATGCACCACAATAATTATAGTTACTGCTAATTATCTGCTTGATGATACATACAAGGCTGACAAACACTACCAACACTGATAGCACAATATCTCCAAAAGCCTTTCCTTGCTAAAAGGGACCGAGAGAAGAAATTGCAATGAAGAGTGACAAAAGGCAGAAATGAAAACAAGATTGGCTTTCCCCCTCCTTTCCTTTCTTTCCCTTTTTTTTTATTTGGTACATCTGATTCCAAAGCTACAGGGAGAAATTGAAAAAGATATTTTCTCCAACAATGGACGATGATAAAAGACATCCCATTAGAAAGCAATGAGGAAAAATGGCACCTGGCCCTGGGGAGAGAAGGGACTGTGAGCTGGTTCGACTTGAAGTGCAACAACTTGCTGCTGTTTCTTAGAGGAAAACTGATTAATGAATCCCCAGCTGCTGCTCTGAAGCCTTTATTGTGGACAAATATTGCCTCTTTCTCTGTTGGAGATTTCTTCCTCGGTCACAATTTGTCTGGCTCCTGGTGACCATATAACATTGTGATTTTCAAATGTCTGTGGAGTGATGGCTATTTAGTTGTTTGGAGTATCTGGAGAGTCAGAGTGAAAATATACCAAAGTGTATTCTGGTGTATAAGAAGCATTTATAAGGTGTGGTTGATGAACATCAAGGATAAAAATTGAATGTCTCCAGAGGTGATGTTTTCTTGTTTTAGGCAACGGGTTAAAGGCCAGGATTTAGCACCATGTAATTTTTGCAAATAAGTAAATACTCTGTATTTGTATCTATAGATAATCTGTATTATCTACAGTCCCAAATGGCTCCAGGTTCCCTTTCATCAGCTTCAACTAGTTCACCAGCTCCAGCTCTTCATAGCTAGAGACACTCTTATCACAATACTGCAGCTGTTTATTTTTATTTGTTTCATTTGTATCCCACTTTCTCCCAATGCTGGAATACGAGGAAGCTTTAAAGGTATAGTAAACTCCAAGTTGGATTACTGTAATGCACTATATGTGGAGCTGCCCTGGAAACTAGTTCAGAAGCCTCAGCTTTGTGCAGAATTTGGCAGCTGGAATTCTGATTAGTTTACATTGAGGGAACATGTCTCATTGATTCTTAAGGAATTGTCTTGGCTCCCTATTTGCTACCAAGCGCTAACCAAGATTCTGGTTATTACTTTTCAAGTTTACGTCACCTGGAGTCCAAATATCTGAAGCAGCATCTTCATCCATGCAATTTTGCCCATGTGTTCTAAAAAAGATCTTTAGAAGAGGCTTTTCTATCAGTAAATGAACAATATCGTGCATTTATAAATGAGAGAGCCTTATCTTTGGTGTAGTCCTAATCAGAAATAGATGCTAACTAGATAGAATAAATCAATTTACAAATTAAGTTAATTACATTTATCTGTTAACTAAAATGATTGCCTTAACTTGGTATTTCAGCATTAACTGAAAACATAATGTGTGTGTGTGTGTGTGTCTTATAGATGTTATTTTGTAATTCTATAAATTGTATTTGTCTTTTTATTATGTTATGCAACTCATCTTGAGATCTTTTGTGGTTAAAGGATGGTTTACACATTTTAAAAATTAAAATTAAAATGCAACTAGCAAAAGGAAGACACATTTGTGAGATGGGAAGGCCTAAATTGTCTCTTAGAGAACCAGTGTGGAGTAGTAGTTTAAGCACTGGATTGAAATTCTGGAGAATATACAATTCTGGAGGTCCCCGTTTGGCCATGGAAACCCATTGGGTGACGTTGGCCAAGTCACACTCTTTCAGCCTCAAAGAAGGCAATGGCAAATTTACTCTGAATAAATCTTGCCAAGAAAACCCTGTGATAAAGTCACTATAAGTTGAAGTTGACTTCAAGACACATCACAACAACAATATATTGGTTCTTAGTTGTGGATAGCATTTCTTTGTAGATCTAGAAAGTTAATCTTTGACCTAAATTCAATTGTAGTTCTAAATAGTGTAGACAGGGGTCAGCAACCTACGGC